GTTATCAACAGGGTTATCGATACACTAATCGGAACATGGAATGTGATCACATTACATGACATCACATCACATTTTATCACATGATATGAAGAGACATCACATGATTTTGCATCACATAATATGATATCACATCACACGATATCATGTGACATGACATTATATGATATGACATCACATTATATGGCATGACATCACATGACGACATCACGTGATATGACATCGTATGACATGACATGGCATTACATGACGTGGCATCACATGATATGACATCATATGGTATGACATCATATGACATGACATCAGAGGATATGACAACACATGACATGACATCCTATCACATCACATAAGAAAAAAGAAAGGAAAAAGAAGAGAAAAAGAAAAGGATATAAGCAAAGATGTGAAAGATAAAAACAAAGATGAAGACCAAGGTAAAGTTACCGATTTCAAAACCAGAAACACCGTTGGAAAGTAATTTTCTGTAGATGAGGAGAGTTTTTATAGTTTCGAAATTGGTTGAAAATCGTCGTTTAAATATTTCCATATTTGTTAACGATTGTTTTTGCAACCTGTTCAATTCAAGCGTTTCGCATTTTGTTTTACTTCGTATTTGAAATTAAACTTTGAAATAAAGATAAATATGAAGATGAAGAAACAAGTGATAACGTTGAAGACAAAAAAAAAGAAAAAAGTGAAGATAAAGACGAAAATTGAGATAAATGCGAAAATGGAGACAATGAGAAATACATAAGAATTAGGTTAAAAGATAGGAATCGAAATAAAATCAGCCATAAAGGTTACTGAAATCTATCGAATCATCGAAGTTTATAATTATCGAAATTTATCCATGCTTATTAAGTTATGGCAACGAATTATTCAAACTGATAAATATTTACTGAGTTGTCGAAATTGATAGACACAGAAACTTAGTTGTCCAAATTTACGGATAGTTATCGAGCTATAAAAACGTGTGGGATTAACGAAATTTGTCAAGTTAAACAAATGTATCAAGTTATCGATATTTATTGAACTATCATTATTTATAGACTTAACGAAATATATCGAGGTGTCGTAATGCATAATTATAATTATTGTTCTACTGAAATTGGTTGGTTCAACAAAGCAAAGTTTATGGAATTTTCAAAATATATCGATTTATCAAAATTTCAACGTTATATAAGCTTATCGATTTACCACTGCTTATCGAATTTAATCGTCTTAACAGAGTGTAACGAGTTATCAAAATGTTTAGATAGTTTTCGAGAAATGTGGAGATGTTAAAACTAAAAATTTATAAAGGTATCCAAAGTTTTTATATTTTTGAGTTATCGAAATTTATCGAGCCATCGAATTTCACAGTTATCGAAATTGGTCGAGTTAACGAATTTTGTTGAGTTATCGAATTTGAGTGTTCTTGAAATTCATCGAACTATCGATATGTATCAAATCATTGAAATTTATCGATAAACTTGAATGTATCGAGTCAATTCCAAGACCTGCCGAAGTCCTCCAATGACCTTCTCAGATAAAAAAGAAAATTAGTTACGTGTTAGCAGAAGATTTTCCGGTTAGTTAATTTGTACCGTATAAGTATCGCTACGTGTTAAGTTAGAAAACCTCTCCAAGGCTTCTAAAACTAGAAAAACTGTCGAATTTCGACAGTAACTGGCACTCTAGTTTTTAATTAATCCTACGAGTACATATTTTAAAGGATGACTGATTAAGAATTGCATATAACCATTTCCACAGAATGGTCAACTAGGACCGATAACTAAAATCACCAATCAGTTGTATGGGAGCTATAAGTTATAGAGGCCCGATTTTGACGGTTCCGACAAATGATTAAAGCATTATAAAAACACACTCACTTATCAAATTTCAGTCGGATATCTGGAAAACGGAGGGACTAAATTGCGTTCAAACAGAAATACAGATGGACTTGGCTAAATCGACTCAGCTGGTCATATCTTCTTATTCTGGTACTAACAAACATCGGACCAAGTCTACAATACCATTTCATGTGAATGAAAGGTATAACTAATGATGGAAAAATTGTACTTTCGCGACCGGTACTTAAGCTTATAAACAAAAAAACGAATAGAGATATTTCAACGATTAATTAGTTAGTACCTTCCTTATTTCATTTTAGTAAAAAATTAATGGCTTTAGAATATTCTCTTTCATTTCGCAGTTTCTTGCATTTTTCAATTTGCAGCCAAAAGCGACTTCCATTATTCGTACGTTCGCGACCGCATATTTATTACTCACATATTGAAAAATAAATAAAATAAAATAAAAACTTTTTAATAAGCCACGCTTTTATAAATGGACTAAAAAGTAGAAAAAAATATTTCTCAGTCCCATAGAATTCGTTTGATAACTTTTGATTTTGAAATTTAAGCAAAAGTTCAAATTTTTGATAAATTTCTCCAGCGATTTTACTGAATAAACTTGATAAACTGAAGCCAATGCAACTCTGTGGCAACTCTAGCGGTGTTTTCTTTGGTAATAATCGGGATCCGCATAAAAATTTTGCACGCAAATTCAACCACAACGATATGATCCTGATCCGGTTCGATTTATTGTCCGTTCTGTTTGGTTTGTTTCTCTGATTACACTGGTTTAGAGCAAAAATGTTCTATGGATGCCACTATCCAATTCCTATGTAGAATTGCTCGGTGATTCCGAAAATCGAGTTAATTTTTTTTCTATGGATACGTTTTCAAGATATTTTCAATTGACCGTTATTCAGCTTAAAGCTAAATCTGGCTCCTTTTAATCACCAATTACTAAACAATTTAAAAATCTTAATATAAAATACGGCAAATGAAAGCTAATGAATCCTCCATAAACCGTTATGACAAATTAATTAATCATTCCAGCTTTACTTTATTAATTAAAAAATGGAAAAAATTAACTTGACAGAAGAAAAATTTTAAGAATAACAGGTTCTCTGCAAAATGTTTGCGTTTGTACTAAAGCCTGTTCTGTTGCAAAAAAAAAATCAAATTACTAATGAAGAAAATCGACGGATAGATAAGAAATAATGAGTGGTCAAATGTAAATACGCAAACAGTTTTTTGTATGAAAAATAAGCAGCAAAGAAAACTACTCATACGCCACGTACAACTGAGTCATACGCTTTTCTGCTCATATTTCATAAGAAAAATTTTTGCGCATTTTTATTTGACCACTCATTATTTCTTATTTATCCATTGATTTTCTTTATCAGAAACTTGATTTTTTTTGTAACAGAACAGGCTTTAGTACAAATGCAAAAATTTGGCACAGAACCTGTTATTATTTTAATTT